ATATATATATATATATATATATATATATATATATATATATATATATATATATATATATGTTTCTTTACCAACATTGCTCCATGCAATCTTCAATAAAATTATTAAATGAATATTTGCAAGAAGCAGCCACAAACCTTGTTTAATTGTTACACAATAGAAGCTTTAATTGGAGCATTTCCTCCTCTCCTCTGTGTACTACATTACCAGATGTGTAAAATATACAAAAATATGCAATTTAAATGTAAAAGATGTACATATACAGATTACTGAAGACAAACTTTTTAACAACGTTTTGACAAAATTCTTCACAACATCAATTCATTCATTAATAGATTTTAAAAAAAGATAGATATATGGAGAGATTTCCAACACAGCTGCTTGCAGTAATGAATGTTCATCCAAGAAGTGCGACTTGAAGGAGCAGGAAGGTTCTAGACTGGTTTGTCTCCTTTTTGATCAAGACAAGATAATTTGATATTAGGCAGCAGCAGATGACCCACAGCAGATTGACTGAACCTCCTGAATGACTGGTACTTCTTCACCCTTCAAATGGCCCTCTCTATTAAAATCCTAAGACCAGCCTGGGTCTTCTGGGTGTCCTCCTTGCTGAGTTGCTGCTGCTGAGAAAGATGGACATAAGAAGAAAGTAAAAAGAGAAATTATTAATCACATCAAAACATGGAAATGGTTTGACATATAGTTTTTAATTCAATATTTAAAATGCTATTCTAAATAGGGATGGGGCCGATCCGATCCAGTATCGGTATCGGGCCTCGGATACCAGCATAATTTACGTATCGGATTTTTCCAATCCAACCTGCAGAGATTTCTGATCCATGATGCATGTTGGCCTCAAACTATGGAATGGATTTCCTGAACGGAGGCATGTCTCATGAGCCCAGAGTAATAAGACCCACCTCACAGTCAGGAAATCCATTTCATAGTTTGCAGCCAGCTAAAACGTGAGGACTGAGTTAGCAGCACTGTGGCAAACAGCTAGCCAACTTTTCATCTAAACGTCCGCTGTGTGGAAGTATTTTACACTAGAAACACCACAAAAGAAGACAGCAACGTGCAATGTCTGCAGAGCCATAGCACCACATTAAAGCGCGGTAAAGTTAGTTTTATGTTGGACATTCGAGCTCCGGGGCTTCAGCGGGGCGCTACTCTTTGCTCAACCCGAAACAGGCAACTCGACCCCAGCCAGCCGCGTCCAATCTGCCCCGCTCAGTCTGCCCGTCTTTGAGGAGGGACAGACTGAGCGCGGCTGACCGAAATCAGGCTACCTGCTTCAGATTGAACAAGAAGAAGACATCGCTGAAGCCCTGGAGCTCGAATGTTTACCGAGAAGTTGCTAAACTTCATCATAATTAATGACCAGCCACTATCAGCTGTAGAAAACGAAAGATTTCGCAGCTTGATACTTGCAGCCAAGATATAGTTTACCCTCCAGGAGATATTTATCAGTACAACAGTAGACAATCATAAAAAAACATATAATTTGAAAATCATATCAATTAAAAAAAAACGAAACAAAAACAGCTACATTATAAAGTGATGTAAATAACTAAAAACAGGAACATGTTTGTTGGTTTATGCCATTAACTTAGCAGGTGTTTGAAGTCATTTAACATTTTATTTTATTTAATTCATGTATTCATTAATTTAAAAGAAACACAATTTTAAAAAATCATCAAAAAGAAAACATTGAATGAAGAGTGCAGAAAGAAGAAAAAATTCTTATTTCTGCCTATTATTTAAAAAAATATAAAATAACTTTAAACAATCACTTAAATTAATCACTTTAATATCCACTTTAAAGCTAGGAATAAAAAAAACAACATGTTCTGTATTAGCAGAATTTAATTCTAACTTTAAAACTTGTCCAACATTAATAAAACTTACCTCAAGTTGCCTTTTTGGACATGCATGCATATATTTGTACAAATTGTACTTGAGAGGAGATTATTACAGCCTCACATAAAATCAATAATGATGATGATATCGGAACAGGATTGGTATCGGCCGATATTCAGTTTTAGGTATCGGGATCGGATCGGAAGTTTAAAAAAGTGGATCAGTGCATCTCTAATTCTAAACAACAGTGCTGGAAGATTTCAGAGATTCAAATTAATAAATGAAGTAAACATTTTAATGTTACAGCACTGACAGGCAGCAGTAGTGTAGAGTTTAGCTACCTGTTGCTGCTAGCTAGCTTACTTTACAATTGGAGGCTGTTTCCTTACACAGTTACAGAATGGTAAATTGATAATGATGGATAACGTTACCACAGCTAACTAACATGTAAATACTGTTTTTATTAACGTTAATAAAGAAAGTAAACCTTTAAATGTTACAGCACTGACAGCCCGTGTTGTAT